TTGAATTCGACCTAATGGTCGGAACAATAATGAATCTTTTTTTCTTGCATGATTTGAAAAAATAAAATATGGCTTTCTAAAACATTGGAAACTGTTTATTGAAAAGGTTGTGCCTTGGCACCTGGGGCGATGATTAAAATAAATAAAAATGATTTATTCAAGGCAGAAAATCTGCATTTTACAAAAAGTGAAGAAACGAGCGGGTTTTGAACTCCGATCTGTTGGAGCGTTAGCAATCTTTCTACCATTTGACTCGGGCGCGGATCTAAGAATTTCTCGAGGGGGATTTTTAAAAAAATTGAAATTTTCTTTAGGTCGACCAAATTGATTTTCTGAGCTCACACAAATCACTATAAAGACCCTTAATTTGACAAAATTTTCTGCGCCCCAGACAAAATTTTAAAAAAAAAACAGGGCCAAAAAAGGCGTTTTTAGGCACTATTTGGAAAATTTTGACCAAAAATCGCGTTTTTTTCGGCGCGCGCTCCCCCCTTAAATTTAGTATGTTTTGGCGCCAAAGGCGTCTTTAGAAAAATTTTAGGGTCAGTCAGCCAAAAATGGATATCTCAAAATAAAACAAAAGGGGGACCCTTTGGGTCGGCTGGGGGTCGTATCTCTGTGAGGAAAAGACGTCACCCCCCCCCCCCCCCCCCCCCTAAATCCGCTACTGATTTGACTAATTGATTTTTTCATAATGAAGAACATTCAAAAAATAATTTGTTTATTGGATGAATTTATAGTTCGTTATAATAAGAAACTTGCTCTAGCAAGTGCAGAAATATCGATTGGCGGTTGGAACAAGCAAAAAATTGCTCTTTTTTGTCTTCGCCCCACATTCACACCACACATATGAGAATAAAGCCTAAAAATGTTCTGTTTGTGTTCAGTGATGCCTAGCATCAATAGTATCTTCAGACAACCTGAGGGGGAACTGGAGGTGGGGAGCAGTGTGACCTTGACCTGCGAGGTGGATGCACAGGACTCATCTCCTACCATCTCATTGTGAGCAACTTTTATTTCTGACAACTTTTGATCTTTTTTAAATCATTCGTTTCCACTTTTGCTAGTTACGTCTACTCTGCTGCATATATGTGAAGAAATTAGATATTAGGACAAGAGATGCACTTATGTTATACCATGAGCCTACATTTTATACATTAGTTGTTTTAGCTTCCAGAAAAAAGAGGAGTTTGGGAAGGGGACAGAACGATTTGCTTCCCAGAAGCCAACATTCACCATCAATTCCGTCAGCATCTCAGTAAGAACAAATGTGGCTTCCCTTCTACTTTGTTTCTGAGACAATTAGAAATACATTAAGCATTTCGTAACCGTATATAATAAATGTACCAGCGGAAATATTGTACAAGTTGTTTCAAGATATTATACTTTGTCAATAAGCTTCGAAATCCTCAGTCGCTATCTGTTTTAGAATAAGTTTTTACTTTGAATGAAAAAAATAACTATAAATTGGTTGCAGGATGCCGGAGAGTGGTACTGCTTAGCCGAAAACTCAGTTGGAAGTTCGCAGTCCAGTAAACTCCAGCTCATTGTGAAACGTAAGTCACAGATACTTTTTCAAACATAGAGAACACCCGGAAAAAAAGGGTTGTTCTTTTGTAATATCATTTACTAAAATTTCAGACTTAAGAAATCGGATGAGATAAAATATAAGGAATATGGCTTTTTTCATTGTTGAGCTCAAAAATAGGAGAATTTGTCATTTACCTTTTTCTAAAACTTTTATAACGACGGCGTGGTTTCAGACATTCCTTTTGCTGTGAGTCAGAACCCGAGGCAGTTCAATGCGTCACTGGGAACAAACGCGAGACTAGACTGTCAGTTCGAGACTTACCCCGCCTTAAAGAGATCCACTTGGTATCAGGTACAGAAAACGTTTTTTCATCTCCAAAAAGATATCCATCTTTAAAACGAAATTGAAGAGATTTTTATTTCGATTCCACCTTAAAAAATGCTTTTGATCTCAAGCAGGGACGGATTTAGGGGGGGGGGGGGGGTGGGCGGGGGGTGGCGGACGCTTCTCTTTCAGGGATTCGAACCCCTGCCAACCCAAAGGGTCCCCCCTTTGGTACTTTTTAAGAAATCCATTTTTGGCCGACCGACCCTCAAATTTTTCTAAAGGCGCCTTTGGCGCCAATATATACTAATTTTGAGGGGGAGCGCGCGCCAAAAAAAAAACGCTTTTTTGTCAAAATGTTCCAAAAAGTGCCCAAAAACGGCTTTTTTTACCTGTTTTTCAAAAACTGCCTGCGGCGCAGAAAATTTGGCCGAAACAGGGTCTTTTTACTGCTTTGGGAGAGCTCGGAAAATCAATCTGATCAACCTAAAAAAAAAAAAAAAGGTCGTCAAAATTTTCGAAAATTTTTTGAAAATCAGCCCCCCCCTCGAGAAAATCCTAGATCCGCCCCTGGTCTCAAGTACCTATTATTTGATATTCAACAATTCCTAATTTCTTTATTGTGTAAAAAATGATTTTAAAGTTCAGGGTATAAAAACTAAATTCTTCATAAATGTCTGGTTTTCAAAAGTGGAGGAAAAAATGAACAATTTTTTTTGATTTCTTGTCAAATTAGTGTATAAAAAGTATGAGCTCAGTTCTAGCTTGGTTTCAGAGAGAGACGACAGCCTTCGGAAGAGTGAACTGGCTACCCGTAGAATCATTATCCCTAATTAGTCCCAACTCATTAGAGAGCAGCGAGGGCAGCAGTAGTAGTAGTTATAGTGGTGGTGGTGGAAGGTTCAAAGAAGGTGTCGCGGGAGCAGACACAGCTGTGTTACATATCAGGGCAGTGGAGGCGGGTGACTTGGGGGTGTACAAATGCAGTGCCGATAATGGGGTGGGCAAAGGGGAGTGTGAAGTCAGACTAGAAGGTATGTTCAATCATGCGGGCAAAGGAGAGGGGGTAGGGGGTAGGGGGATAGAAAAACTACAGCATTTACACAGAAGGAGCAACAGAGGTTACACTAAATATTTAGGTAAAGAGGACTGTTCCGATCTATGTCATTGGGTCGGAATTTTCTGGTTTGAATGAGTTCTTCCCGACGCAAAACTTGATACTAAAATAAAACAACATTTCCTTTTGAGGCCTTCTTGTCGCGATGTTTCAAGCCAGCCACATTGTATAATGGTAGTCGACGAAAACTGGGTTTGTACTTTTTTTTTATTTTTTTTTTTCCACGAGGGATAGGACCAACATACGAGCTGTACAGCTCATCACGGCGAACCGCTGTTGTGCCCCTGCTTAAGAACTACATGCAATTTTTTTTGGTTATTTTTCTGGGCTGGGTAATGTAGCCTCACCCTCAAGCAACGAGCACGGATCATGGTGGGCCTCGAACATCCGACCTTTCGATTGAGAGGCGGAGACGTTAACCACTTCACCACTGCTCCCCCTACTGTAAAGTTTGCAGTTTTTGTTTCTGGAACGCGAATTTCTAGAACAGAAAAAAAAAAACGACATAAAATTTTGTAAGACGATACGAGGAGCTCTTTATTAGAAGAAAAACAAGAAGGGGTAGAAGAAGAAGGAGGAGAAGAAGAAGATTTAATTCTCAAGCGATTCGAGTTATAAACAAACTAAACAGAATATGTATAGATCAAATAAATATGAAAAGACAGCCAGCGAACCATTATTAGCAATTCATGAAACGAGAAACTCCTGTAGCCCTGGACTGTTTCTGATAAGCCTTTTCTGATAACCTTGAGAGCCTAAAAAGCCATAGATTTTTCTCTTTAGTCAAAAAACTGAGATAAGCAGCCGGCATACGATAAAAGAATAACTTGTGGTATGTTTCAGAAGGCGAAGAGATCATTCCAAACACGAGCAGTTAGTATCTGTTTTAAATTTTTTAAAATGCCTAAAAACAAGAATCCGCCGTTATCTTCATTCATATAAAATTATTTTCCTTTGCTCTATGACAAAAAAAACGCAAAAACAGGAAATTGGAATCATGCAATTGAAAAAAAAGTACAATGACTAGTTAAACGTTTTTTTTTTTCAGAAAGGACATCTGACAAGTCAGTTTCGTCAAGTCCCAGTCACGGTTTTACTCTAACATTGACTTTGATTTCCCTTCTACGGACGTGTGAACTGTTTTGGTGACGCAGTTTGGCAGTCGACAGCTTTCCATTATCATCAAAAAAGCATCAGAGGCTCTAGCTTTTGGTTAAGCTCAAATTCCATTAATGCTTCAGACTCATAAACCAAGAAAATGCCAAACAATAGAAAAAAATGGTTGCCAAAAAACTCTTCTTTTATTATTTCTGTTTTCATTTTTCTGTTTCACTCAAATTTTCAATTTGAACAAATTAAATTTGTAACCAATAAAAATCGTAAATTACTTCAATGACTGATTTAGTTTGCTTATATCAAAATTATTTATGAATTTTACAAACTTTTTACTGAGACAAACGAGCGGTATGTGAGCTACTTCGATCATCAATTTCGAATATTTCCACCATCTCAATATTTTTTGGCTCTATCAACAAGAATGCTTTTCAAGTTGTCAAAAAAATTGTCAAGTTTTTTTTATTTCATCTTAGCATTTGGTTTTGCGCCTTCAAGTGATTTTTTTTACAATTGGGTAGGCGCACAATTTTGTGTCTGTATGTTCCTGGATTCCAGAGACAAGTCTTTAAACATGTCAGAAAAGGTAAATCGATTCCACTTATAAAACTTTCGTGGGTTCTGCGTACAAATACCTGTAACATAAATTTGTCGGCACATTAGTATTGTCGCGAATTCCTCAACGAGCGAATAAAATTAGCTGGTTCGGATTCCGCAAATGTAAGTAGATTCCGGAATGGTAAGTGGATCCCGCAAAATTGTGCGGGCTCCGCTTACAATTTGCGGATTCCGTTTACAATTTGCGGATTCCACTTACAGTTGCAGATTCCACGACAACAAATTTTGTTGTAGATTCCGCAAAATTGCCTGCTTTTGGAGCGAATTTGAGCAAAAAGTAATTTAGCTTGTCTGTGGAATAAAAAACATCAACGAAAATAAAATAAAACTGGCGATGTTGCGGATTCCGCAACAATAGTGTTTTTTGGCCTGTTGCGAAATTATCTTACTCTTCACAAAATGCACAGTTTGGCCTTGTAATGAAGTTTTTAACAAAAAATGATGATTTTATCAAGTGTTTTTAACAATTTTTATAAAATCCTTCTCCACATTTGCAATCTTGAATCATAAGTGATACAAATTGCTTCCATTCTAGTAATGTCTTAACTAAGCCCGTAAAACTTCAATTTAATTTATATAATATTTTTTCGTTAAAGCAATGAATCAAAGCTTCAGATCCCAGAAAATTGATCAAATGGTAATTTTTATTATCAATTTCTACTCAAGGCAGTAAAAATTTTCTGTCAAAGTTACAATTATGTGGTTTGAAGTTCGTTTAGAGATACAGTTTAATTTGCATAAATTTTCCTTTTCTTTCTTCCTAATCCAATAAAAAAGTATCATCTTAACTAAAAGCGAAATTTTTTCAAATCTTTTTAAGTTTTTTTAAGACTAATCCATTGTTTTTTAAACTTTGTAGGCTATTATTTAGTTACAAAACGAGATATTTTTAATACGTGTGTTCAAAATTTCTAAAAAAAGTACATTTTGTAAAATCTTCTTATTTAAAAAACTTTTAAGAGTTGATAAGAGCTCTCATCTATTCAAGTTTTTTTGTTTTTTTTTTCTCATTTGCTTGTTCCTAAAATAATTTTTTTTTCATAAATTTTTCTGAAAGTGTTATCTTTCAAAATTACTGTTCCGATATAAACCTCTAAATAACGCATAAAAACTGCTCCTCTATAAAAAAATTGAAACTGGCTAGAGAAAAGGTTATCAGAACCTCCAAATGATGAAAAAAAAAGAAAAATCTTCTTTTGAGGCAGTGGATTGATTTGTTAAAAAAAGGATATTATCAAGAGGCAAGCCAAAGTGAACTAATTTTATACTTTTTTCCTGAGACGGGTTCTTTTTTCTCAAATTTTAGTCCAGACGCGTATTGAATGGTCTTTTTTCAACTTTTCGCATTTTTCCAAGCCTGAACTTAGCGTTGGTTATCAGGCATAGACTTTTCAATGAAATAATTTCAATTTTTATCAATAATTTAAAAAATATATATATATATTTTTTCGTCATTTTGCACAAAAAGAGGGATTGTTTCGCGGAACAACTCAGCAAAAATCCGAGTTTCAATTTTTACGATTGCGTTGAGTTTACTTTACTCAAATAGAAGATATCAGCACAACAAAAAGATAGCTTCATAGCTGATGCCGTACCAGCATGACGTACAACAAAGAAAACTATTTAAAAAATTTAATGAAAGACTTCAAATACCTTTGCAACAGGAAAAAAATAGATATTTTGTGATGCAAATTAATTATATCTATTTAAAAGTTTTTCAAATTCTATCTAATTATTTCAGAACCTGATAGTAGGTACTTTGCGAAGTCAGCCTTAGAGGCAAACCGCCATGGATATGTGAAATAAATGTGAGATAGCAGGCAGAAATTCAAAAAAAAAATCACATGCAGCAACCAGATCTTGGAAACTCTTTGAAATGCTAGTCAAAAAAATACCATTAAAATTTTGTTATCTCGTGTTTTCTGCATTGTCTATTTTCCTGTGTCTCCTTGTAATAGAATATGACCCTGTTCTGCTTCAGTATTTGATGCGCGGTGTAGAAATTAAATCTGGTGATGATGATATTTGAAAACGAGATTCCGAACCGTTATGATGGCAAAAAACTTGTAAAAATAAACAAATTTTTGTTGGGTACTCTTTTTCTAAATTACACAGCGCTGATGATTTTTTAATTTTAAGTAGTTAAAAAATTTGAAAACGCAGACATATTCATTATACAACCATATACTGTGAAACAAGATATTGAAATGTTAAAAAACAAAAATCATTTCTTCGTTAATTTTCTAACAAACATGAGCGCTTCGTATTTTTTTGAAAAAACAATTAAAGAGATATTGAATCACAATTGAAACAATTTCTATCTGATACATATTTGATTCGCATCGAGTTTGGCGTCAACAGAAACAAGGCTTAGCCACACATCTCATCTTTTTTTTAGAAATGAGCACAATCACGTGTGTTTAACGAAGTTTTCTACATTCTTAAAAGATCTTGGTCCCAAAAAAATCCTAGTCCCCCCAAAAAAAAACCTGATTTTTGCAGAAAAAAAAACAAATAAAATTTACTGTTTTCAAAAACTTTTACATCTGATGAAAACAAAAGTACAATCCATGAAAAAAAAACTAAACTAACTGGAAAAACGGTCTAGACCACTGCAGAAAATTTATTCGAAACAAAATCAAATATAGCCAACATACAATGGGAAAAGCGTCAACGATTTCAAATAGACCAAAAATGATACAGTCAATTTAAAAAAAAATATTTGAGTTAGACACTTCGAACTGCAAACTAAGTCTGAGGATTCACTGTTTTTCAAACATAGCCAGCTGTCAAGGAGCTCAAGGAATGCAACAAACTATTTGACCCTGCTGTTCTTCAATCTTTTCATTTTGAAGGGAAAAAATAAGTCGCTTGAAGATGTTCACTTTTTAGGAATATTTTATGGTTGATTTTTTTTTCATAAAACCAACCCAGCTGCAGGACTCTACTGATTAGAAGATTAGAAACCTCTTTTCAATTCAAAGTCCATTCACGTTTTTTTTCCTATTTCAGTAATACGCTTGAAAAATTAGTTTTCTTTTTACCAAATAAATTTCAACTGAATTTTAAGGTAACCCAAAGCCAATTTGCGTTTGGCGGTTTGTTCTAAGCTCGCCAAAACGTATATCAGGGAATATCTGTCCCTTTATCACTAGCAAACATTTGTAGGCAGATTGATAAATATTTTAAAACATAAATTGTGGACCATTTTGAAATTTGAAGTTGCCAACATTAGATCAGTATGCAATTATTACGGCAGATTAGCTTGCCTCAATTCACTTTCGAATAATATTGTAGCGCGGGATGATTCAACTCGCATAGAAAAATTGCTTTTTATTTCAGCATCAAAAATCCCATTTTAGCCACGTTTATGATACTGCCCGAAACATGACCATATTGGCAAATTCAAATTGAACTTGGGCCTTAAAAATGTTAGTTGAAGATCAAATTTTATGTAGATTTGAGCTCAAGGAGTTGACTTTTTAAAGGGGATAAAAACTTCAATTAAAACGTTTTAAATTTGGTTGCCGATTATTCCCTGAATTCAAAAACCTCAACAAGCTTAAATAATCCCTTTTTTCCAACTCGAAAAAATAATCCAGAAAATGTTGTGGTTGTTTGTCCAAGATAAAATTATTCCTCATCTCATTATCCAATTTCAAAATGATTATAATTGTAAAGTATAGCTACCAAAAGCAGAACCTCATAAGCTGGCAAAAACATACTCTTTTCAATCATCGAGGCATGCACACGTCCTGGTGCTGCAAAAAGTGTCAAATGAACCAGCGCTTTTTTTTGCAACTTGGGTTGGAAAACAATGGATACCCTAAAATAAAACTAGGCATGGTTTGCGTAAATAGGCAATTTTGGGGATATTTTGTTATTTTTTCCAGCCTTTTTGACAACTTTGCCAGAAACACAAAGTATGCAACCGGCCGTGGTGCACCTCCTCTAGTGCTAACCCTTATCAGCTGACAAGAAGATAGCAAATTCGCAGGAGGACATTTGCAGACGTTTTTTTGAAGAAAAAAAAAACGTTATTTTGGGTACAACCGAATAGTAGCTGACGGTTTGGCTGGCAATACAAAACGTGTTGATTTACTTTTCAAATAAGACTTGAGTAATATGTATGATATTAGCAGATTCCGGAGAAACTGTTTTTCCGTTCCGGTATTTGATTGAGTTTATAGCAGCATGCACCACATTTGGCACATATAGCAGCATGGAACATATTTGGCATTATCATTTGCCGGAAGTGATGTAGCATACGTACACGAGGACGGGTCTAGGACAACAAGCCGACGGGACTTCAAGCCGAAGGGACTTCAGGCCGAAAATTAAACTTTACAAGCACCTCAAATCATTATTTTTTCGTTGCTTGTCAAAATCGTAGGCTATTTTACTCCATAATAAGCGTTATTTATGACAATGAATCACTTGAGATTGGCATCCGTTAATAATATCAGCCGGTTTTTGAAATGCATAAATTATAAACAATAAAGTAGCCTTCAACCCTGTTTTATTTTTCAACTTTCCTAAACATCATTTGGAGGCTTAAAATTGATGAAAACGCTAATAAGTACCGAATAAAGATAATGAAATTGAGAAATTCTTCAAAAAAAAATTCAAATTAATCATATTCCATGACTAAGAGAGAAAATTTTCGGCTTGAAGTCCCTAATTTTACGATTCGGCTTGAAGTCCCGTCGGCTTGATGTCCGGCACCCCACGAGGACAACACTAAAGTAGGTAGGTACTTGGATATAAGATTCCACTTGATTCCGATTTCAGAACATGCTAGCTGAATTTAAAAACAATGCTTTTCGCAATATAATAATGAAGCTTTTGTAATGAAGTAACCAAATTCTACTCTAAAAACAATGGAACAAATATTTAAATTATTTCAACTAAATTTAAGGTATTTGCCATAAACTTTATCACAAACTATTTGTATAATTCGAGAAACTTATTTACAAAATTTTTTAAAAATTAAATCAAAGCCTTGAAATACATTTGCACATCAGAAGAAAAGTTAAATTATTTTATGATGCAGAATTATTTAATTCTATTTATAACTAAAATTCAACTCTATTTAATTACTTTAGATTCTAATGGTAAGTACTTGGCGAAGTCGGCGTTAGAGGCAAACTGCAACTGATATGTGAGATAATACTGAGAAAGCAGACAGAAATTCGAAAGAGAAACTCACATGCAGGCACCAGATCTACGATCTCTTTAAAGTTTTCTTAAGGAAGAAAAATTCCCCAATTGAGAATCAGAAAGCTGGAAAAGATGAAAACATTTTCGTATGCTAACTTTATGTATCGTGCATGATCATGTGCCTCCCTGTGATAGAAATGTGACCTGCACTGCTTCAATATGTGATGCGGTGTAGAAGCTAAATCTGGTGATGATGAGAAAAAGCGCAAACAGAATCAATTCAACCCAAACCAAACAATTCACCCACTAACTACAAAACAAAGATAGAATGAAACCACCGAAAATTCAAAAGTGCACATCGAAATCTTAATATAATGATCATGTAACTTAAATGAAGCATCACTTCTTAATAGATGAAAAATGAGAGGTTCAACTTTTGAGTTAACTGATTCCAATCAATATATGAAAGAAGGTATTAGGTAAGTAAGCAAGGAAACTAAGCTGCACTTCGCAAGTACAAAAAAAAAATGATGAACTGAGCTTCAAAATTGCTTGAGAACACAAAAATAAATAGAAATGCTTGGAAAATCAAAACAGACTTGTCATTTAATTGTCAAATTGCAAAGCTAGGAAAATCAAAACAGATTTGTCATTAAGTTGTCATCACAATTGCAATTTAGGATCAGAAACTTTAGGTTCGAAAAAAGTAAGCTCGTTATAAAACACTAGCGCTTGCTTGTGCAGCATATGAAAGAAGATGTTTGAAATAAACATAAATACAAGGTATTTGAAATTGGCATAAATGAAGGCATTTGAAAATGGACTTGAAATTCAAAACAGCCAACAGAAAATTGGAAAAGTGTCAATAAACTCAAGAAGAGCAAAAGCGAGACAGATAACTCTTTAAAACTTCAATTTGTTAAGTTTCGAAGAGAAAAACATATAACCTTAAAGCTCTTTGAGCTTCCAGAATTGTTAATATGTTTTGTTGCTTAAATTTACCCAAAACTGGGTCATGAAATGAGTTTTTATTTCGCTGGGAATTCGAAAATTAAAACACATTTTTAAACTTAAATTCATACATTCAAGCTTCATCGCCCCATTTTAATTTTGTTACTGGAGAACATAATTTGCCTCACATATAGCAGACGAACTTTAAAAGATTTTAGCAATGAACAAATCAAACCACGAAAAAAAACGAATTTGGGTTTTACTTTTTTCATGCAAAACGTACAAAAACACGACCTAAATGAGTGTGTTCATTTTGTTTATTGACACTGAATCAAACTATTTTACAAATGAGCTGGTTAATCATCTAAATATTTAATCTCACTGATAATATGTTATCTGTCAGAGAGGGAGTCCATTAAAATGTTCACTTCTTCCAACTTGATCTATCTAAATTCACCCAAAGCCCTTACAGGATGGACGACATGTTTTGACTCCTTCCGTATGATCGATGGATTCGCTTCATCTGGCATGATCGGCCTGATCAGAGGTTTCTTCTCGGGTGCTCGCATTTTCCACACGACAACAGCGGAAGTACTATTCGCTCCGCCTCTATACTTGGTGGATGCCACGTAAGCTGCCTTGACAGTTTGCACGACTGCCTGCATTAGGTTCTTAGCTGAGCTGATGAGAGAGATTGCGGATTCAAGTCCCGACAGGACCATTTCGCCGCCGATCTGCGTGATGTCCGTTTTGACCTAAAATTGAATTGCTGAGTAAAAGCTTCAAGGAAATTTCAGAATCACTCTTTTCATCTGGACGTTTTGAAGTAAAAATAACTAGCACGTAAACAATCTTTCGATCACTCACATGAAGTTAGAGCCATTTTGCTATTATGAACTTCTGTACTGAATGTAGAAAAATCACTCGGAACTTCAACCTTACGCATCATATATTTGATGTGGTTTTAGAAAAGACACTTCAAACATCGCCCACTTGAAGAAATTTTTTGATTAATTTTCAGCAACCAACCTTGCTAGTAATGTTGAGCTGATGTGTGTAGAGTACTATATTCTTCAAGTAGTTCTGCAGATCAGTCTTGGTCCTGGACTGGACACATTGTTCCACAATCTCACCAGCCAACTCCACCATTTTTTTGCCCAGTTGCGAGATGTTTTGGGCAGCCCCGATAACGTCCATAGTCGTCTTCAGAGGACCACGACCTGCAAGCGAACCAATCAATGAGAACATCATGCAAATTTATTTAAAAAATCTTTGAGCAGACACAAGTTAAGCCGAAAAAAATGAACTTCCCCCTGAAACTACTTCCTCCCGACTTTGAACAACACTTGCACTTGCACGACTTTGAACAAAGCTTTAAGATAATTTTGTCGACCTCCATTCTAAATCCACCCATAGAAAAAGCAATCAGCATCTGAACAAATACTGACCCCTGGTGAAGTCTGTCATCTCCATCATGATGATGCACATCTGTTTGGCGAGGGTGATGATGTCGTTTCCTGTCTCGTCCCATTTGGTGATCTCCGCATCCAACTTCGCCTTTTCCTGCTTGAACACTGCCACCTCTGCCGCGATCTGCTGCTTCTCCTCCTCTGGCAGAGACCTGATCAAACAAAGGTGTCTTTGCAAGGGGTTTTAAAATGAGCCAGGAGTCACAGGAGACATTTGCAGCTCTGCTAATTGCCTTACACAACTTCAAAAAATCAAGGAAGCAGCAAATTGAAAATAAAAAATTATCACCCTATCAACCTCCTTCAAGATTCTGTTTTTAATGGCACTTTTTTGGATAAAACTAATAAACAGAATTGTTGTGATTAACTTGATGTCCAAGAACTCAAATTACGCAGATGTGATCACGAACTACCTGGCTCAGTTTTTAGTCCATTGCAAGAAATTTCGAAGACGAAACAAAAATTTCATGACGAAACGAAGTTAATATTGTATCAGCGGTGGAAAACAGCATCCCCAGTATTATACAAACTATGAAAATTGAATTCATTCAAATGACTAAGGATATCGTTGAGGATCAAACTACTAAATCTAAAGATATCCTTGCCCAGAGTTTTTTTTTGGTTTTTTAAATTTATTCGGAGGCCAAATTAATTTTAAAAATCCAACCGAAGCGCAGATAACAAGCACATCCTAGGAATACCAAAGAAAATCTATACAGGTCAAAATGCAAAAAGTAGCTACGAGAATAACGAAACCTCGACAACAAGAGTTTTTTAGATATGTCAGCAATTAGAGCGATTGTTGAGAGAAACGGAGGTGAATCGAAGCTTCACATCACTTGCGATAAAACAAACAGAAAAAACATAAGACGAAAAAAAAAGAATTTCTCGAAGTTCATTATAGGCAAACATGCCATGCAAAACATTTGAATATTAAATTAGCAAGCGAACAAAACTTACGAAGAGGAAACAAAGCCGACAATCTTTGAGCATAGACCAGTTGAGCCGAAAAAATTGCTAAAAAAATCCACTACCACCCCCCGAAAATACAATGAACAACACTTCTAACTATAATCAAAATTGCTTATAGCACAAGAAAATCCGTGATGTGGCAAGTAAGCCGACAAAACTTGAGCGAACAAACAAATCAATATTTACAGGAAAAAATTAACTAAGGGCACCTTTGGGGCCAATATGAATAAATTTGAGGGGGGAGCGCGCGCATAAAAAACGCATTTTTTTTGAAAACCGCCCCCTCCCCACCTAAAAAAATTTCTGCGCACGCCACTGATCTTAAATAAACTAAATAAACAATAGACATGGAAGAGGCGGACGAAAAACGATTCAACTTATTATCATCTTCATAGGTATTGAGAATTGAACACAAACTGATTAAATCTGAAAGTTTTGAATTTTTTTTTCAGCGTAAAGCTTAACTTCCCACATCACAAAGAGTTCCGTAAAATTTTAAAAGACAAAAAAGTGAGGCCTAGTCCAACTATCATTTTTTAACGCAGAGGCGAAGCAGTGCTTCGCAAACTCTAGCGATAATACGACAAATAGCAGCTCTACAAAGTTCAAAGGAAAAAGTAGAAATTATCCTCGAAACAGTAAAAATTCGGCTACTTCTCGGATTCGATGCTTCGACCTACTGCGACATATAGAACATGATTCTCACTCACTAACCACGAACGCTTAATCGATGACAAACACTAGCCACAAATAAACCAGAGAACAGATGCTATGCAATTTCCAAAGCTACAGTGAAATATCCCTATAAGTGAACATTTTCAATGAACACTTATTTGCGAGTTAGGTTTAAAAAAAGAAGGTTCGTACTAATACGCTAACGCTCGCAAGATCGCTACTGTGAAAAATGATTTATTCCGTCCATACTTTTCGCGATTTAACATCACAAAGAATAAGCGAATGAGATGTCTTTTTTCTGAGGACGAAATATAGGGTTTGGAAATAATATCGTATCTAGTTAATTGAAACTTTTTAGTACTTAGAGTTTTTGTTTGACAGTGTACAGCTTAATTACGGCACACACGACTAGGCCAAACTGGCTTTTTGATGACCTTACAAATCAGAATTATATAATTGATAATTGTCTGTTGAATAATCTGATATGAAAATAATTTAAAATTGATCTTTTTTCCTTTCATGCATAAATTTACTTAATTTGCATTATAAGAAACTTAAAAAACTTGAAAATCGTTTTGTAATTTTTCAAACTGATGGAGCGCGGCGTAGTTTTATGGTAACTGCATGGTGAGAAACACGATGCATTATACCTCATCATCGCCCTGTTCACTTGGTTGTCCTCTATGCTCTGTTGCCACTCCTCAGCACTCATGGGCGGCCCCGCCCCCTCCCCACTCATACTGGCAGTCCTAGACCTCGGCTGACTCAGAGTGTCTCCATTGTTCACTTGAAATGTTGCCGAAGAAGTGTGAGTCCTACTGCCTCTGCGACTGTTCCCATTGTGGTTTCCTGAAGACATTGAATGATAAATTGAACATATGTTCATAGTCAACATAATAACAGGACAATCTATTCGCTGCTTCATTCAACAAATAGGCCACATTTCGCCCCAGGTTCATTGCGGGACTTAGTGTGTGAGAATTTAGAAGCAAATAGGCAAGATACAAAAGCGTCACGAAATTTAAAATGAACGAAATGTGTTAAGACCGTATCTAACCACATTTCAGCATTATTACTCTCAGAGAACCTTACTCCGACATATTGGGTTTGAACAATTTGAACTTATTTGCTCTGAAGCAGTGTTTTGCTGTTGTGGTAGTTTCGTAGTTTTTGTTGTCTGAAGATCAATTTTGGTTCTAACTTCGTTCTAATTGTCGCACCAAATATGTCAGTTTAAGTTTTGCGACACTTTACCAACCTGTTCCAGCCGAGTGGTTCATGGAAGCCGACTGGGATTGAGTTCTTGCTCGTTCTCGTTCCGCCTCTTCGTCGAAGTCACTGTCCGAGTCCAATTCGTCGAACGCTCGGTTGAGCAACACACATCGGCGGATCTCACGTACCTAAACAGAATTACGTCCATGTTTCTCTGTAATTATTTCAATTTGCAAAAAAGGCAATGCCTGAATAACAAAGAGTGTATCACAAAAGTTTTTTTTTACAAATAGTCAATAACAAACAAACATATCCAGAAAACCACCCGCATCTCAACACATTTTTATCTCTTCCATGAGTAACAAACACAGCAGAGAGACAAAACCTACTGAGGTGAGACAGCCATTCCTCTTTATAGAGTTTGCCTCCTTTCAACAAAGAAAATGAACTGAATTTAAAACATAGAGGCGAAGCGGTGCTTCGCATTACTAGTACCAAACAAACTTGGGGAAAAATTTTTAAGCGCATAATATTTACATCTACAAAAATTTCAAGGATTTTGTCTCGAATGATGTTCAATTTAAATTAAGTTTCATACTTGAATTTCATAAAACTTGCAACTCAAGTTTCATAAAACTAGCAACATAATGTAACTGTTTCTCGTGAAACCAAATTAATTCTAGGGGCCACTTTTCACACAGGCGTAGCTAGACTTGGTTACAACAATCAAGGAAATGGCAAGAGGCCGCTTTGAATTGCAAGAAAAAGAAAAGCCGGTAAAATTTGAAAAACCGCCGCTTATAGTTAGATTCTACGGTCTTCATAAATGCACCATATCACCTTCCTGTCTTCCGACCAATGCTGATAATACACATGCTTTTTAAATGCCGCACATTTAAAGCAATATACAGAAAGTTCAGCTTTGTTGAGCACTAATTAATACGAGTTATATTGAAAATGTTAACTCGTAATAAAACACATGCATTTGCTTGTGTAAATTTCAAGCAAAACAGTTTCAAGAACCACATCTGTCTCTATTATCAAGCGGAAAAATCAATTTGACTTCATTTATGAAAATAAAATTACATTGACACAAAGCTGCACTTCACAGAGCCAATTCCAAAAAAAAACAGTCAACAGACAGTTGGTAAAAAGTCAATAAGTAAACCGAAAAAAAAAAACTTAACTTTTGAAAATAACGTACTTTCAAAATTCAAAAAATGTCTCGAAGCTTTTTTAAGTTCTAGAACAATTTATGACTGCGAACATTTGACAAAACTACCAAAATTGGAAAAAATGGATAAAAAATTCTTTTATTTTGCTAGGAAATCTGATAGTTAAAATCCATTTTCGAAATCAGAAGACGATCACGTTTTTCGCGACCTTTACACTTTCGCTATTCAATAGTACAGTTTCTTTCCCTTTAATCAATGGAAACGAATTGAACTTAATAAAAAGTCAAAAAAGAAACCGCGAAAAAGTAAACTTCAGCCTGAACAACTTTTGTGAAAAAGAAAAGACGGTAAAATTTGAAAAACCGCCGCTTAAAGTTAGATTCTACTGTCTTTATAAATGCATCATTTCACCTTCCTGTCTTCCGACTAAAGCTGATAATACATATGCTTTTAAAATGCGGCATATTAAAAGCAGTACACAGAAAATTCAACTTTTTTCAGCACTAAATAATCCGAGTTATATTGAAAATGTTAGCTCGTAATAAAACACATGCATTTTCTTATGTAATTTTAAGGCAAAACTGTTTCAAGAACCACATCTGTCTCTATTATCATGTTGAAAAATAAATTTGATTTCATTTACGGAAACAAAAATACACACAAACGAAGCTGCACTTCACAGAGAAAATTCTAAAAAAAGAACAGTCAACAGACAGTTGGAAAAAGTCAATAAACGCAGGTAAACACAAAACAAACTGACTTAATTTTTGAAAACAATATGTATTTTAAAATTTCAAAAATTGTCTCGAAGCTTTTTAAAGTTTAAGAACAATTTCTGATTGACAAAATTACCCCAATTTGGGAAAAATGAATCGAAACAATTTTTTTATTTTGCTGGGAAATCTGATTATTGAAATCCATTTGCGAAATTAGAAGTCGATCACGTTTTTCGGTACCTTTAAACTTTCGCTATTCGATAACCACATTAACCACATCTGTTTCATGAACCACATCTGTCTTTAAAATCATGTTGAAAAATAAATTTGATTTCATTTACGGAAACAAAATTACACAAACGAAGCTGCAATTCACAGAAGAAATTCCAAAAAATTAAAAAGTCAACAGACAGTTGAAAAAAGTCAATAAACGCAAGTAAACAGAAAACAAACTGACTTAATTTTTGAAACCATTATGTACTTTCGAACTTCAAAAAATGTCTCGAAGCTTTTTGAAGTTCTAGAATAATTTATGACTGACAATGATTGACAAAATTACCCCAATTTGTGAAAAATGGATCTAAATAACTTTTTTATTTTGCTGGAAAATCTGATAATGAAAATCCATTTTCGAAATTAAAAGTGGATCAAGTTTTTGTGACCTTTACAATTTCGCTACTCGATAGTAATTTTTCCCTTTAAATAAAGGAAACGAACTGAACTCAAAAAAAATCAAAAGTCAATGCTTTTGAAATGCCGCAAATTAAAAAAATTACACCGAAAGTTCAATTTTTTCAGCACTAATTAATCCGAGTTTTATTGAAAATGTTAGCTCGTAATAAAACACATGCATTTGCTTAAGTATTTTAAGGCAAAACAGTTTCAAGAACCACATCTGTCTCTATTATCATCTTGAAAAACAAATTTGATTTCATTTACGGAAACAAAATTACACACAAACGAAGCTGCACTTAACAGAGAAAATTCCAAAAAAAAGAACAGTCAACAGACAGTTGGAAAAAGTCAATAAACGCAAGTAAACACAAAAAAACTGACTTAATTTTTGAAAACAATTTGTACGTTCAAACTTCAAAAAAATGTCTCGAAGCTTTTTGAAGTTCAAGATCAATTTATGACTGACAAAATTACCCCAATTTTGGAAAAATGGATCAAAATAACTTTTTCATTTTGCTGGGAAATTCTGATAATTTAAATCCATTTTCGAAATTAGAAATCGATCACGTTTTTTGTGACCTTTACATTTTCGCTATTCGATAGTAATTTTTCCCTTTAAACAAAGGAAACGAATTGAACTTAATGAAAAATCAAAAGTCAAAGCTTTTGAAATGCCGCAAATTAAAAAAATTACACCGAAAGTTCAATTTTTTCAGCACTAATTAATCCGAGTTTTATTGAAAATGTTAGCTCGTAATAAAACACATGCATTTGCTTAAGTATTTTAAGGCAAAACAGTTTCAAGAACCACATCTGTCTCTATTATCATCTAGAAAAATAAATTTGATTTCATTTACGGAAACAAAATTACACACAAACGAAGCTGCACTTAACAGAGAAAATTCCAAAAAAAAGAACAGTCAACAGACAGTTGGAAAAAGTCAATAAACGCAAGTAAACACAAAAAAACTGACTTAATTTTTGAAAACAATTTGTACGTTCAAACTTCAAAAAAATGTCTCGAAGCTTTTTTAAGTTCAAGATCAATTTATGACTGACAAAATTAACCCAATTTTGGAAAAATGGATCAAAATAACTTTTTCATTTTGCTGGGAAATTCTGATAATTTAAATCCATTTTCGAAATTAGAAATCGATCACGTTTTTTGTGACCTTTACATTTTCGCTATTCGATAGTAATTTTTCCCTTTAAACAAAGGAAACGAATTGAACTTAATGAAAAATCAAAAGTCAAAGCTTTTGAAATGCCGCAAATTAAAAAAATTACACCGAAAGTTCAATTTTTTCAGCACTAATTAATCCGAGTTTTATTGAAAATGTTAGCTCGTAATAAAACACATGCATTTGCTTAAGTATTTTAAGGCAAAACAGTTTCAAGAACCACATCTGTCTCTATTATCATCTTGAAAAATAAATTTGATTTCATTTACGGAAACAAAATTACACACAAACGAAGCTGCACTTAACAGAGAAAATTCCAAAAAAAAGAACAGTCAACAGACAGTTGTAAAAAGTCAATAAACGCAAGTAAACACAAAAAAACTGACTTAATTTTTGAAAACAATTTGTACGTTCAAACTTCAAAAAAATGTCTCGAAGCTTTTTTAAGTTCAAGATCAATTTATGACTGACAAAATTACCCCAATTTTGGAAAAATGGATCAAAATAACTTTTTCATTTTGCTGGGAAATTCTGATAATTTAAATCCATTTTCGAAATTAGAAATCGATCACGTTTTTTGTGACCTTTACATTTTCGCTATTCGATAGTAATTTTTCCCTTTAAACAAAGGAAACGAATTGAACTTAATGAAAAATCAAAAGTCAAAGCTTTTGAAATGCCGCAAATTAAAAAAATTACACCGAAAGTTCAATTTTTTCAGCACTAATTAATCCGAGTTTTATTGAAAACGTTAGCTCGTAATAACACACATGCATTTGCTTAAGTATTTTAAGGCAAAACAGTTTCAAGAACCACATCTGTCTCTATTATCATCTTGAAAAATAAATTTGATTTCATTTACGGAAACAAAATTACACACAAACGAAGCTACACTTAACAGAGAAAATTCCAAAAAAAAGAACAGTCAACAGACAGTTGGAAAAAGTCAATAAACGCAAGTAAACACAAAAAAACTGACTTAATTTTTGAAAACAATTTGTACGTTCAAACTTCAAAAAAATGTCTCGAAGCTTTTTGAAGTTCAAGATCAATTTATGACTGACAAAATTACCCCAATTTTGGAAAAATGGATCAAAATAAGTTTTTCATTTTGCTGGGAAATTCTGATAATTTAAATCCATTTTCGAAATTAGAAATCGATCACGTTTTTTGTGACCTTTACATTTTCGCTATTCGATAGTAATTCTTCCCTTTAAACAAAGGAAACGAATTGAACTTAATGAAAAATAAAAAATCAAAGCTTTTGAAATGCCGCAAATTAAAAAAATTACACCGAAAGTTCAATTTTTCTGAGCACTAATTAATCCGAGTTATATTGAAAATGTTAGCTCAAAATAAAACACATGCATTTGCTTAAGTATTTTAAGGCAAAACAGTTTCAAGAATCACATCTGTCTCTATTATCATCTTGAAAAATAAA